TGTACAGCAATCTTATCAAACTGGGAACTGTCATCCAAAGTAAATAAATGATTCATCAGAGACTCTATGATGTAATGAATAAATTATGCTTTATTTGTTTTGTACCTATGACTAATTGCAATTGTATATATCTTGCAACAGTAATTTACAAGTTTAGCATAGCATGTTAACACAATTGTCATAATTGATACTGTGCTAAACAGGATTTCCTGTTGAACATCTTGCAAAAGAGGTACCATTTATAAAATAGCAATAATAATCTTTGGAAGCAAGATCTTAAGTGGGTCTTGCTTTTATGTGATTATACATATAATAAAAGAAGTGTATGCCAAATTACATGCTTCTAAAATTATTTCCACAATTCTGAGCTTAACCACTGGTCTATCAGGGACTCTGACATTCTGATGAGTAATAAACCCCTGATACAAAATGGCAAAATGCAATAAGTTGCTCTAGGCAACTCATCCTGAAGCTTTGCACAATCCCCGGTTTCTTCCTAATCTACAAAAAATAAGCAGGATACCTCTCGGTCTGGAGTCCCATGACTACCCTAAGGTTTCACGACATTTCCTCTTTGTGACTACTGTCTCACATACTGGATAAATAGCTATGACTAATAGATTTTGTAAACCAGCAGCACACTGAGTCATTCTTGGCTGGACTTGATAGATATGGGATTATTACTTTGGCTAGTGATGGCCTAAGAGTCCTGTAGATGCTATTCCACCTAAACAACCTTTATTCTACTGTGCTTTCCTTGTGGTGAGATTGATTCTCATGTACAATGTCTGATCTGCTCTTCTGGGTACACCAGACATCAAATGAAACCTTTCATACAACCACCTCTCTTTGGTGATGAACTCTCCTTATGAGCACTGCTACTTGCATAAAATGTCATTCCATAAGTTAGAAGCTCCTTTAAACTCAAATAATGTAAGAGATCAAGTATAGGTACCATACCCATTAGCAAAGACAAAACTGTGCAATAAAACCCTACTTCCAACCAACTCTGTGGTATTCTAAAGTAAAACTGATTTCTTCAAAGAGTATTAGGTAAGTTTACTTTGTAATGAGAGGATCAGCAAGTTAAATTATGAAGTAATGCTAAATTTAACTATACTGACTAAGTTTGAAGTAAAGATATAAACAGACTACAAATGATGTGTGATACAAAATGACATCCATCTTTATATATTTATAAAGACAAAAACTATGTACATACTTGCATTGTACACTGGATGATCACTTTTCACTGGACTTTTGATTTGATCAATTGACTTTCTTTTTCCAAATGTCTTCCTCTGTTAGCCTACTCACTTGAAATCCCTTGTAATAGTGTTTAAATCTAACATTTCTTATTTAATGGGAAATGTCAAAGTTATCCATACCAACTAACACTACCCACATGAGTGGTCATTCTCTTTTAACATAAGAGAGGCCATAAACTTCAGTATCATATAGCCTACCACTGAAAGAACATGTTATCATAAGTCATGCACAATATGTAGCATTACCAGAAAGGCCCAAGGACAGAACAAGCATTATCTCTAGAGAACAACAAAGGAATAACGTCAGCTAGAATGAAATCATTTATTTTATGTTATGCAAAAACTGCATGGATCTATAATAAACAAGAACTTAGAAGCATTTTAAACTAAAATAAGGTATAAAATGAATGGCATGCATGCATGCATACCATAACATTATGGTTACCACACACAGAAAATGTGAAGAAGAGAATGTCTTATATTGCATGCAAAGAATAGAAATGAAGCAACAATCAAGTAGTTGTACATTAAAGATCTTTGCAAATTTCAGGAAAACAAAGAACTCAGACCTGGGAATCAACTTTCTACACCTCAAATTGAATGACAAATTTAAAAGATGAGAGCAAATATAGCAGCTGAAGACTCTGAGAAATAGCTTGGCAGATTCCATTGTAACTATTATACGAAACTTCTGCAGTTCTCATGCTCTGATGCAATAACTTGTTTCAGACATTTAATTCAAGAAATACTTTTCCTCAAGGATTTGAAAACCAAAAAGTTAATACTTGTGCCATCCATTTCTATAGAATTAATTTAACTATACTAAAACTTTGACAGATGTACGTGCATGGTCACTTGTTTCTTGCATAGCATGACAAACCTGCCCTTTTAGACTTTTTCAGCAATAAAATTTATAGCAGGGATGTATTATGTACTATAAAACCTCTGTATTCTCCAATTAAACACATGTTAACATATAAATTGAATCAATACCATTTAGAACATTTCATTAAATATTTTATGGTTGCAATAACAACCCAACAGTTTACAGCAACTTATAAGCATCAGTTTTTGAATAACTATATCAATACAGCTTGAATTTTTGCTCTCAAGATGAAACTAATATCTTACCCAAAATCATGGTCTTATTAATGGTGAAGAAATAAATGCATTATATTTCTCAATCATTAGAAATGATAATGACCATGCAAATATTCAAAATTGTTCTTACCTGTACATTTGACTCTGCTTGTAGATCAGCTCTTGAAAACAATTCTGAAGATAACATTAATGAAAGATAAAACATGAATGGTATGGTATTGTCTGGCTTAAAGATTTCCCTCAAAGTAGTTTGCCCCCCAATGGCACAGCGGTAT